GTTTCCTACTAGAGTGTCCCACAAGAGTGTCCCACAAGAGTGTCGCACAAGAGTGTCCCACAAGAGTGTCCCGTAAGAGTGTCCCACAAGAGTGTCCTACAAGAGTGTCCCACAAGAGTCTCCTACAAGAGTATCCCACAAGAGTGTCCTACAAGAGTGTCCCACAAGAGTATCCCACAAGAGTGTCCCACAAGAGTGTCCTACAAGACTGTCCCACAAGAGTGTCCCAAATGAGTGTCCCACAGGAGTGTCCCACAAGAGTGTCCCGCAACAGTGTAAGCGTGTCCTACGAGAGTGTCCCACAAGAGTTTCCTACAAGAGTGTCCCACAAGAGTGTTCCACAAGAGTGTCCCACAAGAGTGTCCTACAGGAGTGTCCCACAAGAGTGTCCTACAAGAGTCTCCCACAAGAGTTTCCTACTAGAGTGTCCGACAAGAGTGTCCAACAAGAGTGTCCCACAAGAGTCTCCCACAAGAGTTTCCTACTAAAGTGTCCCACAAGAGTGTCCCACAAGAGTGTCGCACAAGAGTGTCCCACAAGAGTGTCCCGTAAGAGTGTCCCACAAGAGTTTCCTACAAGAGTGACCCACAAGAGTATCCCACAAGAGTGTCCCACAAGAGTGTCCTACAAGACTGTCCCACAAGAGTGTCCCAAATGAGTGTCCCACAGGAGTGTCCCACAAGAGTGTCCCACAAGAGTGTCCCACAAGAGTGTCCCACAAGAGTCTCCCACAAGAGTTTCCTACTCGAGTGTCCCACAAGAGTGTCCCACAAGAGTGTCGCACAAGAGTGTCCCACAAGAGTGTCCCGAAGAGTGTCCCACAAGAGTTTCCTACAAGAGTGACCCACAAGAGTGTCCCACAAGAGTGTCCTACAAGTTGTGTCATCTGGACATATGTAGCTTTTCGAACGTGTTTGCATTCGGGTTCGTGGGCTCCATCTTGTTTCCATCTTTTTTTGTGCTTAATTATTTTTGATTTCTTTCTTATCTATCTATCTACATTAGAGTTGGTTTGCTATTATCAAACAGCCTCCAAAAAACTTGACTTGGATCCCAAAAGCTTGTTACTCATCGAGGATACGTTTCGATGCCGAACTCGAGGACCTGGCCCATGCTGAACTACAGAAGCTTCTTGAAAGACCACGCACCAGTCCTGCACTGAGCTCTTGCTGGTTGCATGCGCACTGAGCGAATGCTCATAACCTTTGGCGAGCTTTGCAAAACAGCTCCCAAGCCACTTGGAGCTTCCGCAGGATGGCACTCTGACACTTTGCCAAACCAATATGCACCTCTCATGAGGATGAGGGAAGCGCTCCATCATCACTGTCCCACCAGACAGGCTCCTGAGGTAGCAGACAGTTCATGACCCTCACACCCCCTATATAGAATCATTATGGAAGTGGAGCTCACATGAGTTCACAACCGGTTTGTAGAGGATTTCATGGTCATTTTTTTGGGGGTCATGCCATCCACTTCCATCCGTATGGATGTACATACTCTTTGAAAAGGTCTGAAAAGGTCATTGAAGAAACCAAGTTACCTTCTGATAAGGTATGTTGATCCCTAGGGCCTGACAATTCCAGGGAGTGTAAGATTATATTTCACCACCCTTCTGCTTTTGGGACCCCAAGAAGTCGTTGGGGCCCAAAGAAGTCGTTGGGACCCGAAGAAGTGCTTGGCGTCGCAAGAAAAGTCCAGTTCTTTCCCAGAGTACGCCCCCTCGAAGAACGCCGCAGAAAACTCTCGAGGCACGCAAAGCGGCCAGGGAGCCCAAGCCATCGAGTGAAGGGTATTTTTTACCTGACCTAGAAGGAAGATCCAATGCTCATCATGATTCATCATGCCAGATCCTTATCATGTTGATTTGCCAGCCCAATACCATCAGCTCAAGAATGCTAATCACATCATCATGCTTGCCCTAGATCGTCATCATGTCGTTTCGGTGAGGGTGTGTGCTGATGAGAGTCACTCCGGGTAGAGCCCCAGTGTCCCAGCGTTGGACATGAACCATGTGCATTTTGCTCGGAGTGATCAGACGTGGAGTGATGCGCCCTGAACCAAAAGACCTGGGGCTTGGGGGATGTTTTTCTCCAAATTCAACTTGTGAGTTGGGGCAGGCCCAAGCATCAAGATTCCATGCCGGAAACATAGACTTTACCAGAAAGTGTTATGCAGTACCAACTGGGGTAGAGATTGCACCTTCCTAAAAATCGGGATTGCCAGCTTTTTGTTCAAAAGAAAGCATGGCAGGTCCTGCATTTGATGTACTTTGCGGTGGCTCGACGAAACCTGCAAGTGCTCGCCTGCGTTGCTTGGCTTGAGCCTTTTCGGTCGTGAGCCCTGCGTCGTTGCGACCGGGTGGCTGTGGGGTTTTGATCCGAACAAACGGATTTTTACAACATCCTTTGGGTCTGTCCCATTACCTGTAACAGTCTAAAACAATTGCAGTAGCATGCAGTAGCACTGGAGAAAGCCCTTTCCTAACCCTCATCGTCGTCCACAACGGGCCCTGGTAGGACATACCCCAAGCATATCCAAACATCATCCCTAAAATCTAAAATCAATCCTGACACCCGCAGGTCTCCCAAACTTGCGGAGTTGGTCAAGGTCGCGCTGGTCGCGCCAGGAGACCTTGGGTGAGGTGGATCCTAGCATGGTCCTGCGGAAGCAGGGCGCCGTGGCCTGTCGTTCGGACAGCTCAGAGTGGCTGGAGGGGGTTGGGGTGACCCAGGCAGAGCCCGATTCTGTACCTGGTACAGTAGTTAGTAGTTATTTGTTTTCTCCATGGTTTATGCAGCACGTCCAGACACAACTACCAGGTAGGCCCTTATAATATGCGCAGATATCATTATACATTTATCTATATCATATATCCAACTCCTAGTGTCGGGATGCTTTCTTTCATGCAGGACCTAAGTGTCCAAGCACGTCCTGTATTTGTCCAGGCCACATTTCCCAACATCAGGCCAGCTTCTGATGTCCACTCCCAGCTCGTTGGGATGGGAGAGTTTGTTGATGAATGCCTTGAGGACTTGAGAGTAAGGGCACTGTATTCACTATATGACTTTTTCATAAGATGAGAACAAAGCAAAACACACTTTCAAGCACGTCAGGTTGCCAGGGGCCTGGGTGACATGGAAAGACGTTGACTCTTTATCATGAGCACGAGGTACCTTGTTTGCGCCGCGTGGTTTAAGCAAGATGAGAAGAAACTGGGGACCAAGAGTTGGCGATTGCCTTGAAAAGAAGGCGAAGCAGACACATTTGCATAACAGAACATCCGCGGTACATTCCCACCCACTTTACAGCCAGTGGAACCTCCCGAAGCCCACCCACTCGCTCGCTTCAGCCCGGAAATTCACAGCAACACCACAGCGACACACCTTGGTGAGGAATACCTGGTTTTGCAGGTGACTTGTTGTTTTCGCGAACTGGTTAAAACCCCGCGCCTGGTGAATATATGTTTCCAGGTTCCTTGAGCAGATCCATATGGTCAACAGAGCCTCAGAACCAATGCAGGTGTCGTTCAAATGCCGACACATTAACAGAGTCGCGCAGCCTCCAATCAATGTCTCACACATTACAGCAGATCTCACACCTACGTGTTCTAAAGGTAATCACCACTCCAAGTCTTGAATCCTTTGATCTGGCTGGTTTGCCCACTTGTTTGCCATCCGCTCCATGTCGAACATGCCAGCCATTGGTCACGCCTTCGAATGTGAGACCACTGGCACCACTGAGAGCTCCCCCTTGAGCACTGAGAACTCCTCCGAGGCACGGCTTGACGGTTGAATCAAAACCATCAAGCTGTGTAGCTCGGAGCATGTGAATCTTAAGAAACACATGAACCATCATGAACCCCCTTGTTTTAACTCTTCAGCCATCTAATATGTATGGATTATAATGCGTGTATGATATATTTCGGGAAAAAACGTCGACATGGGTTGTGCCACATCAGTGACATGCGACGGCTGAAGATTCCTGAAAAAACATGGGCGGGTCGATGGAGGTGAAGGAACCAGAAGGCGAGAATCGAAGGAAACTGAGACTGATCAGTGATAAAGACTTTATATAAAAAGATATATAGGCAAACGCTTTTTGCTTGAGTTTTTGCTTGAGTTGAGTTCTACACACTTGCTTTAGTAAGTTTGTATTGGGATGAAGTTGGTGCCTTAAGCTTGATCTTTCACTCTAAGGGGGGCAGTCCTCAAGTTTGAGAACAGTTGGATGATGATATTCTCTCCATGCTGGGGCTTTTCCGACTTTTCCATGTTTCCATTTGCTCCAGGATACATGATCAGGAAAGTCAGTGTGATATTCCCACCAGTGATGGTGAAGTTTCTAGAAGGATTGGTGAATCTCCGTTGGAAGGGTTCGAACCATTTTTTACTTCAAATCCATCAGAGTATTTGCTTATAGGACGTTGTCATGCTTTTTCTTCAACAATGGAGAGGTAGATTTGCCTAGATGGTTTGATGTGTGCTTCAGTCAGGCAGAAAAGCCTTCCCCTTCTGTTTGCCCTCATTCCTTGCAACTGCTTCCAGTCTTGGGACCACCGTCGGGCCACGAGTCACGCATTGAATGGGTGCGTGAACAGGTGCGCCAGTTGCATCAGAGGTGGCATTGGTCCCGATGCCGTTGGATTTGCTGTGCTTTGGTCGTCACCTTCGTCCTCCTCATCGTCACGGTCATAGGCGCGTGGCCTTTTTCCTCGTTTTGAGCTGTGCAGGTGGTGGTTTTATTCTCGGTATGGGGTGGAAAGACCGACTGGACTGGAGTGACTGGGAGATCAGCGGGCGCCAAAATTGTGAGCGTTTTGGTGGACCTTTTTGGGGAGTCCCAAAGTCTGAAGATTCAACCACATCTGGCAGATTCGAATTCTTGAAGCGATGATTCAAAGATAGATTCTTGGGATTTCTTGGGTAACTTTGGCACACACACACACACGCCTGACACAGGTAGGCACCTAGCTTTTGAGCCGAGGATCTTCAGGCGTGTTTTAACTTACAAGCACGGAATCATGGCGGAAGAAGATGCAAAGCGGAACAAGTGAGGAAGAAGTTTCAGGGTTGCGACTCAACATTCCTGTATATTCCCTTCAATTCCCTACACCGACCGAACGGTTGAGAATGCCGACGATCTTGGCCTCCAATTTTGCACCGAAGACACCGTGTCCTACGTGTCCTTCACCTAATTGAATGCAGACCGAAGGTGCTGACCTTCGTCTGAAGACCTTCGCGTCGGGTGCTCGATGTGTTCTTAGCTCGCTGACGATCTGAGCTGTCAGGGGTGAACCACGCAGAACGTTCGGAGCTGTTGGAGCCCATGTTGGACCCTTGGCGCTGTCAGAGTCAGGCAGGCATGTAGGCGGCATGCTCAGATGTTCATTCATGTGCCAGGGCCGATGGCTCTCGGTTTTGCAGGTATACCGGTATACCCAGTATACATCCGTATAGGACTGGAAGATGTATGGAATGGATCCCGCCCCTGAAAAACCACTGCACCATAGCCAAAGATCGGAAAGCAGACACGACCTGTTTGGGACTTGAAGATTGACCAAACCACTGACCCTTCAAGCATCTTGGAATCACCTATTGTCAGGATCGTTCGGGCGAACCCTTGATGCCCTTGGGAGATTTTGACCTCTTCTTAGGCAGAGGATGTGGCGAACATCATGGGGTTGGGATTTTTGAATGTTGCTAGTTGTTGGGGAGTGTGTGATTTTGGCTGGGCCTCCACAAGATTAACTGACTAGCTGCTAGCTTCAATGTTGTTCAATAGCGACAGCTGAAATAATCCTGTATCTAGTGGCCTATAGTCGGGCACGCCCAAAGAATCTCACTACTGGCGCTACTGGCATCTTTGCATCTTTAGGACATGTTGGAGAAGGCCTCCTTTTGCCATGCACCTGCCCTGAGCTCAGTGCCACGAATACCTGGAGATTTGCGAAATATTATGCATTTCAATAATCTGAATCTAGAACACCTTGGCTTTGCATGCCACAAGACAGAAAATGTATTTTGTTGATCTTGTCTACAAACTCCGTGCAGTGATGAATGAATCATGGAACTCCCTGGCTGATGCTGGTTAGTTGCCGTGGATGCACGACTCAGAACTGATTTGAGGGAAAGTCTACAGAACACATGCTAGGAAACCCATAGGTTGTTTGGGGTGAAACCAATAGAGATGTCTCCCTCAAACCAATCCAATGAGCGTTTGGAGCCCAAGACGTGTTGTTCTCGTTGTTAACCATTGCTCAGGCGCATGCCACTTGCTCGGCGGTCTCTTGGTGAGAAGGTGTTGTTCTGTTCACCCGGTTCCAACTGATCCCGTGGGGTTGGCGACCGATGCGACCCATGGGAGGCCAGGGCGAGAGGCCGACCGACATGACCTTCGTGTTGATAGGAAGTTCAACCATACTTGGTCCGATTGGTGGTCCAAAAAGGAGGTTATTGAGGTTCTATAGGTGAGTAGTGGGAGGCATGGGCTCGCACTATGGGATTTTCTGGGCTCACCATGGGTGAGAATCGCTGAATACAGTAGCCTGTGGATGATTCAGTTTCAACGCACGCCAAGGTTGCAAAGACTTGCTTTAGTACTTAGAAGCTCACATCCATAGTGCTTTGAAGATTGCTTGTTCAAAGGCGCGGCCTTCAAGCAGCCTTCAGCTGACGAAACGAACTCCAACCCTCTCACCGTCGCCGTGTGGATCCAGGAGATTCCCAGTGCTGAACTGCAGAAGTTTGATCTCCACCCACCGCAAGCCGAGAAGGTGCGCTAAAAAGACCCCGTACCGCGGTGTACCGCGGTGTACGCCTTGCGGCAAGTAGAAGGAAGAAAGAAAAAAAGCCCGTACCGCGGTGTACCGCGGTGTACGCCTTGCGGCAAGTAGAAGGAAGAAAGAATTATACTAGGTACAGATGACATTGTGAGTTGTGCAACGACCTCCAAATCACCACCTTTCCTATGTCATTTGTCCACGGTCTCCAAAAAGAGAGGACAGAAATGTAAAAAAGCAAAACGCATCTCATCTGTTCAAATCCTCAGAATCTCGGATTCCAAGGTGGCCCAAGCCCTACAGAGTCCATGACAAGAACCAAATCGCTCATGTGGTTGTGAATAGGTCAGAGTCCCATCTCATGTATCCGCAACCTATAATGCCGGGATTGACAAACAGGTAGTGGTTGCATGAGATAAGACCTGCAGATTTGATTCCAGAAAAGGATTCGAACTCCAGATATGTGTATATATTTATGCACGGTGTGTATACAAAGTTCTCACATGTCAATGTTAGAAGGACGAGAATGAAGGGAGGATGAGAATGTCATGTTATGCACGGTGTGTTATTCTCGTTTTGTGAGGATGAGAATGAAGGGAGTCCCATATCATCTTTTCTTTTTGGGTTCATACCACCCATATACCATTCAAAAAATTCAAAAGAAACATGCATCTCATGTGTTCCCGGCATTTGTCACCTTCTCAAGGTATGTATCTCATGTGCATACGGTGCGTTCCAAAACTGACCATAAAGTCCTGTGTGATTTGCCCCTAGTATAGAATGAATTAGATACTTGTAATAGACACATATGTTTTTTCCCGCCAAAAAAAGGGATTTGTCCTGAGAATCCGTCGCTGGCCTTGCTGCTATGCTGCTTCGCCAGGCTTTGATGGGCTTCATGTACCTGCA